GATAGTGACAACACAGCTGTAACGAACCTGAAAACAAGACTAGTACACGGGACTACAAATTGGCGTTAACACGCTTCTTGTCCGTTCTAAACTGATCATGTCTTGATCTTGAACTAAGCTAGGAGTAAATGTTCAGGCTTTAAAAGTGTCAGAAGATTATGAGAGATAATCATGTTTATTAAACGGTATTCTTTGCATGCCAATTCCCTCACTTGTTGCATCCGCCATCGTTTTCAAACATAGTTAAGATGTAGAATTAAATTTAAAATCAATTTGTTTAAAATTAAATGAAGCAATTTAGTAGAAAAAGTAATTAAATACTTAAGGAGTTGCAAATTAAAATCGATTTAAAATAACTTTCTGGCCGATTGATGATCTGGAAGAGGAGAAAATGGAAAAAGTAAATTACCGTAAATCATACTCAAAATTATCATAATTAACATTAATCGCATTCTTCCCTTTAAGTATGTAGTCTGCACTATCAGCTTCGTTCTGTCAGATGATATATCCCTACACTACCATGTAGGTCCGTGGTAGTGTTTTTGTGGATGCATGATGACAAGAAACAACACCACAATCTTGGAGAAATGACAGAGGCAGACATTCGGCGTACATCATCGCCAGTACAGCTTGCACATTAACGCCAAACATATCATCACTAATTTGTGCAGTACGTTCTTCTGCTCTGCTATTATGTTGTCGACGATTCAATCGGATGTTGACGTTTAGAGCCGGGACGGTTCAGCAAAAAAGCATGCCCAGGAATGGCATATTAAGAAGACGTTGACAAATGCTCTTCAGCACCTGTATAACAGACATACAAGGATGAGTTAAACATTGCTGACGAACAAGTGCAATGCAAATGTGTTTTGTAACATTGTGAAACATTAAAAGAACCTGAATACTAATTAACAGGTAATTCTCACGAGTCGTAATTTTCACGGTTCAAAAACTTTTACAAGGAGGCCCGCCTCGATAGAGGCCTGGCTGTTTCTCGATAACCCCTACATACAAACAAAACTACAAAATAATCTCAATCGAATAAATAAATGTGTATCTCCAAGCTGAAAAGGACTTTAGCTTCCAATATATAACTTGTAAAAATGACTATTTTGTATTTTGTACTTTTACTAACCTGAGTACATGAACAAAAGATGCATTAAAGCGTACATGTTCTTAAAGGCTTCGATAGTAATTAGTGTGTAGACAATTTATATACATCGCACCACGTCAAACGTCCTGAGGAATATGGAAGTACGACCATGTCCAAGCCATGTTTAATAGTATTGATGTTTCAATTAAAGTTATACTGTTCACATACTATTCCCCAATTGACGAAAAGAGGAGGAAAAACATAACAGTTAGGACGTCATTGACGTTGTTGATTTATGTAGATATACAATGTAAATAACATGGAAAAAAAAATACAACAACAGCAACAGCTCAAGGCATACGTCGATCAGCATCGATTACGACTGCAATTGAACTTTGACTTAGTGGCGTCATAAGAGGTCCGTCTCCCAGTCTTTTTTTAATGAGAAAACGCTGTAGGTCGTGTTGTTTGTCAAAACAAGATTATAAGTGTGAGTAAATGTGATTTTAGGAATCATTGACCTTAATCAAGTCCTATTTACTGTGATCTTCATCTGCAAGAAATAATATCTTACTATTAATATTTTAAAGATACATTTATAGAAAAATATTGACGAATTGAATTTGACGGGTTGCTCATTTGACATGACCTTTACTATTTATATAACATTAATTGATAAAATTCCGCCAATCACTTGAGTAAGTATTCGAGCTAATGCGATATCTCATATTTGACACACATGAAACGTCTTATATCTGAAATTGTTTAAAAAAGGATATTTCGCAAAATAGCCCCACTTCTTCAAAATATGTAAGAAATGAATGTTCCATAACATTTACCTCGCGATATATGCGAGGGAATAAGTCTTGTGGAGTTGTGTTGCTATGTTTCTAATTCATAAAAAGCAACATATGTTTTCTTGATGATTTTTGACATTTTAAAACATTATTCAGACAAGGAAACACCAATATATCAAAAGAAAGATTTCTACAGACCTGAAAAAAATACAATGAGAAACAGACCATGTGTTCCGGAAGAGAAATTGTGTTCTGCTTCATCAACGACACTCACCATGTAAGCCTTGGTCAATCCAAGTAGGGAATGTCAGGTTCTCGAATGGGAGCAAGGTATACAACAACGGAACCAACAAGCAAATGAACGAACATCAAACACATCCAGCTGAATATCGTGCAAAGAAATACGATTACTTCCAAATGAGAGTACTATGACGACCATTAAATATCCCCGTCATTTTCATCAACCTGCATCATGTCCGTCAGTTGATGACACCTTGTACAAAAATCGAGATAATGGGAACAGGCCCTTTAACATCGAATCAACTGCGACATGTGAACACTGTAGTTTGGGGATGCATGCGGTTGCTATGGTCACACATTGATATGTAAGTGTTATAGATAGGTACTGTTTGAATTACGTGCGGTTCTTGTGGCTTCATTTATGTTAGTAAGGTAGAGGTCCAGTGCATATATATAGACGAGATTTTGAAAACAGCTTTCAAATTCGTAGAGAAACAGAGTTGCGATAAGAAAGTGTGAAACACAGATCAAAGTAAGTACTAATCTATTTTTGTTAAGTATTTGGGCCCTTTAATGTGATGCGGCAGCATCAAACAAACATACACAGAAGTCGCCATTACTGAACTATTTCTTCATATGCATTCCCGGTACAGGTACATTGTAAAATGGGAGTCGGATAAAATCCGGAATATAACAATTTTCACGTTATCAAAAGATGGGCTATTGTATATGTGCTTCTTTTGTAGTGTAATAACCGAAGTGTTGCGATGTGTAAACGCCTGTATATGATCTAGAATAGGTGTTCGATAGCGCATTATTTATAGGTAAAGAAGGCACCGAGTATCTACTACATAGAGTGAACCAGGGACGTCCCTGAGTGAACGCACTCATCATATGACGTTGTCGCCACTTGTGAAGACATCCGGGTACTGGAGAACAGATCCGACATCTTGTCAACTGTAGCATTTTGACATCGACACTTGTTGGTTGATGAGGAGCAGATACGCTGACTTTCTTTGTGATATCCAGCTCTAGGACCAGTGATTGAAAGCTAGACTGTGATACAAGATTCGTTAATTAGGGTATAGTGTTATAGAGTGTATATACATAATTATTGTATAAAATATGTAATAGTGTGAGAGTGTGGTGTATGATGCGCCGATTCCGTTTGTTTCAACTCAATGTAAGAAAATAAATGTATATTTGTCCGATGTTATTCATTTGTTTGGTAGTTGTAGGCAACAACAATCGGTTACTTTAACAGTGGTCTCCAGAAATGGACAATTCACATTAAGGACAATAAAATCATCACGTTCACCATAAAGCTCGGTAGAAAAACTTCCATATTGACTTCGTTGTACGAAAAAATTGAGATAAGGGACGCATGAAGAGTTTTTGTGTGTTTGATTTTCAATTCTGTTCGGTAAATAAGACAGACGTGGCCAATTAATCTCTAATTACGTATCGACATGACGTCATCAACATATCTGGAATTCAAGTACTTTGCAATGTCTTTTTGACCTGTTTTGATATGCTCTCTGATAAAATATAAAACAAATCAGCTACAGAGGGGCACAATTTGTATCCATAGGCATGCTAGTAGTCTATTGGAAGATCTTACTAGCAAACTCTAAAGTGTTGTCATCCTGAAACTCGATCCTTTTTTATGATTTCGTCCTTCGTATATTTCTTCTTTGCCTTGGACGTAATTTTCATGACATACGTTTCAGTACAATTCACAACCATTTATTTACACCGCATTTCATCTTTCTTGGAGAAACAAATTTTCATACCAGGAGAAAGAAATCGTTCTTTCAGTTTAGAATGATGTATGGTGTTGTAAAGGGTGGAAAAATCAAAAGTTCTTATAGAAGATTGTTTTTTTAAAGAAGGCGTTGAATATCAAAAACTCTTTGGAGTTCTTTTAAAAAAATTCTGATCAAACAATGATACACAAGATTATTATTAAGATAAAACAGATAAAACGCTTATAATAATATACTCGAAATTTAGAGATAACAACTCGAAATTTTGAGTTTCGGGTTCATATCTCAAAATTTCGGATTACTAACTCAAAATGTCGAGTTAAAATAACATACAACGTGGCTGGAATACGCCTCCGTAGATCAGCACCTTTTTCAAATGTAAGATTAGATACTGTAAAGCTTGGAATGAAACCAACTGCAATTTACCGTTTGTAACACGCCGACTATGTTGAACTATGTCCAAGGTGAAATCGTTATTTTAACTAACATTATTTTACTAACCAGAGGACCATGTGGAAGATTAGCCGTTGGTTAAACATGTATTATATCCTCAATAAATAAGGTTTATTATTATTATTATCTTGTGACACAAGGTTTGTACTTTGCTATGCAATCTAAATTATTTGATGATAAAATAAATACTTTATTTACCGTCACATAATTGCAATGCAAATCACTTTATTATTTACAACTATTAGTAGTTTCTATAACGCTCTACCTGCATGTGCATAGAGCCGTATCTTAACCGCAGATTTTCAAAAAAGAAATAAAAAAATAGACTATATCAAATTAGACAAAAGGAACTTACGCAGATTTATATGTGATTTCAAATATCACGCTTGTATGTTGATGTAATATCTTGCGCTCTGAAACATATTCATTAACGGATTTCTGTATTGTATTTATTCTACCAAGTGACTAAGATCGGTGACATCAAAATGATTGTGACGTGGTAGTTTTGACGAGAGTCTCAATCATATCTCAGTTGTTCTTTTTCGTATGAAACGCATAGTTAAAAAGTACAGTACAATGTACCATGGAAGGTAGGGACACTGGGCGGAACTGAAAACTGGATTGACTTGGGATAAAGTCTGGACTTCCCAGAAATAACCCACAGCACACGATTATCCTACTCTGGTCACCACAAAGGAAGAGAATGGTCACGAAGGTGCGGTTTGTACGACGGCAGAAACAGTGTACAGGCTGAAAAAGAAACAGATGCCAGCTTTTTGATGAAGGGAGAGGTGGATTATGTGCTGTACACTGATTGTCCTTCCTAGAATAGAAAGGAGTTCAGATTTCTCTTATAGTTATAATGCTTATTTGAGAACTAATGAACATTTTCGCACTTCCAACGACTAAAAATATATATTGTTTTAAAATATTGAATTAATACTGACGTAATATGTTAAATATGAATTAAAAAATATTTTCTTAATCTTTACTTGATTTTGCTTTCACATGTATTGTTCTTTTTCAGTTTTCGAAATAATAATGTAATAGGCCAAACTTGAAAATGTATAACATAGGAATTATTGTCAATTAATTATTTACAATTTAGTGATACCTTGTGAATAGTCATTTTTGTTTCATCAACCTGTATATTCATTAATACCTACTACTCTGTCGTTATTGAAACCATTTTCGTAAGTAGTCTTTGACTTGTTCCATTTATGCCCTTTTTGTTTACATACATGTATATAATATTTAGACATGCACCGAATTTGTTTCGTCCACCATCTACCCTCTTTCTTTACTTCACTGCTCTGCTATATATAAGTAGGGATTCTATGTTATCTTTCATTTATTTTTTATCCTCTTCCTGCTCTTTATATCTTGACTTTTCTCTAGTTTCCAATACCTAATCTCTTTCAGGTACTTATCCTTCGTTCTCGAGTTACTCTACTTTGATGACGTCATATTACAATAAGCGTATATATACCTCTGGCCACCATGCAATGTTTTCCTATTTTGTATGTTATCCTCCTTGATGGGTTGTTGTACTGATGCGTGGAGGTGCGCCATTGGTACCTTTTATTATAAAACATGTCTCATGGGTAAAAGACTGTATTTTGTCGACAAGTCGGATTCCTTTTATAACTTGTTTAAGACAGCCGTTTTTCGTGCATACTATTCGCTTATCTTAGTTTTATGCAAGCCTTAGTTAAGCAAAGCACTATTGTGTTCATTTTAGCCCTCAAATTTATTTTGGTCTGTGATAACAGTGTGTGTCATGGCCCAAACTTGAATGTTCGTACAAGCATATTTAAGTATAAATCCTTCTATACTTACCAAATACTCAAATATGATAACCTGAAAAACTTAATGAACTTGCTTTGTGTTTTTATGCGGTCTTACTTTCTAAATTTTCATTTTTCTGTAACTCTTCTGCTGCTGTTATTAATTAGTATGAATGTTGAATCTAATCTAAGATAGGTCAGTTAGTGATCATGAAGGTTGTACTGTTAGCGTTAAACTTCCTAGTTCTTTTAAACCTGTCTATACACGCAAAGTCTGGTTATATAAGAGAGCAGATTACAACAAGCTCAATGAGCTTATTAGTCAATATGATTGGAATGAAACTTTTTCAAATTGTGCATCAGTAGATATTGCTTGTGAAACTTTTACTAATGTTTTTATTAAATTTGTGGAACTTTGTATACCTACAAAAGTTGTAACCATACGACCAAATGATAAGCCATGGATGACTTCTGAGCTAAGGAAACATATACGACTTCGTGATAGCTTACACAAAGCAGTTAGAAAATCGAAATCTTCTTCGGCTATCCAAAAGTTTAAAACACAACGTAACAAAGTCAATAATATGAAAAAGTACTGCGAGCTACAGGTTTACGAGCATGTCCGTGGTTTTATTGATAATTACTTATCTGCTGATCCCAAAGCTTACTGGAAATTAATCAAACGGTTAATTAATTCTTGTGGTACATCTAATGACATACCAATTCTGGTAGACCCTTTTACTAATACTGTAGTTACTAGTGATGTAGATGAAGCTGATCTACTTAATGACTATTTTTGCAGAATAACTAGTATTGATGATTGAGACGCCCAAGTTCCAGATATTGCTCTAAAAATCAATAAAACTTTTTATTTTATTAGAGTAAATTATATAGAAATAAAAGATGTGTTGCAAATACTGAAACTTGGAAAGGCTTCGGGCCAGGATGAAATTAGTCATTATATGCTAAAAAATGTTTGTAATACTGTTTGTAAACCACTTGAGTTACTGTTTAATATGTCACTCTCTGTTGGTGTTTATCCCAAAGTATGGAAATTAGCTAAAGTTATGCCATTGTTTAAAAAGGGTGATAGACACTCTCCTTCTAACTACAGGCCAATATCTCTACTGTCGGCAAAGTTTTTGAACGTGTAGTTTTCAATCATATCTATAATTATTTCATAGAAAATTCGTTGTTTTATCAATACCAGTCTGGTTTCTTGCACGGACATTCTACTTTATATCAACTGATTGAAATGTATCATAATATATGTCTAGCACTCGAAGAAAAAAAAACATACATGTATCGTCTTTTGTGACATCTCAAAAGCTTTTGATAGAGTTCGGCATAAAGGTTTGTTTATTAAGTTAAAATCCTATGGAATAGACGGAGAGCTATTGGCTTGGTTGAAGGACTATTTACATCAGAGACATCAAAAAGTATGTGTTAATGGGTTATTTTCTAAATTAGGTTTTATAGATGCTGGGGTTCCACAGGGTTCTATTCTTGGCCCTGTTTTATTTCTAATTTATATTAATGATATAGCAGATGTATTTGATTCAGCTTCAAGACTTTTCGCAGATGACACTTCTCTCCAATGTTCTTCTTCCTCCTATCAAGAAATTCAAACTATCCTTAACAAAGACCTTGAATCTCTTAATTCATGGGCTAAAACATGGCTTGTAACTTTTAATCCTGACAAAACGGATGTACATTTCATCTCTAATAATAATGAAATAGAAGGTTTATTAGAATTAGAATTTGATGGAAATATTTTAGATTTCACTGATAGTCACAGACATCTAGGTGTTATTCTCAACTCAAGTATTAAATGGGGGGATCATATTGAAGTGATTTACTCATCTGTTATGAAAAAAATAAATGTTTTGAGAAAATTGAAATTTGTATTAAAACGGGATGCGCTTTTAAGAATTTATCGTACTTTTATATTACCCATTTTAGAATACGCTTGTGAATTGTGGGATGGTTGTTCAAATTTGGAATTAGAAAAATTAGAAAAAGCCCAACGTGAAGCAGCTAGAATTATTACAGGCCTTCAATTCTTCTACAAATTGAATACTAACCAAACACCTGAATATCTTTCCTCGTTACTTTTCTCTACTGTACAAGATCAAGCTCAATATTCTTTGAGAAATAGTAATAATTATAGAGTTCCCTTTTTCCGTCTTTCTACAACTAATTCTTCTTTCTTGCCGTCTACTATGCGTTGTCGGAATAATCTGGATAACTCAATCAGGTCGTCATTCTCATTAAGTGTTTTTAAAAAGTCTCTGAAACCTATCGATCACATTTCTCCGCCTTCTCATTTTGGGATAGGTGACCGTAAATTATGATTTATTCAGGATAAACCTTGTGGATACCCCCAGTTCTTCTTGTGGACATTTGTGTGAAAATTCTTATCATTTTTTCTTTATGTGTTGTCATTATAATTGACAAAGAAATGTTCTTTTTCAACATTTAGATGATTTAAATTTACCTATACATTGTGATTTAGATTTGATATTGTATGGTAATAATTATCTTTCTTTTGAAACAAACTCGAAAATTTTTTTGAATGTCCAAAACTTTATTAAATCTAATAATAGGTTCACTTGACGTCATCCGCCTAAACTACCCCCTCAATCCTCTTCCTCCTCTCTCTCTCTCTCTCTCTCTCTCTCTCTCTCTCTCTTCTAAAATATGTAGTTAGTGTATTTGTTGCCATATGGCTATTGCATTGTCTAACTATATTTTGTTATATATTGGGGAAAGGGTGTTCCATAAGTTGTAATAACTTGTACCTAATCCTGTTGTAATAATTTTTGCAATAAATATGTTTAATTCAAATTATTGTCATTCTTATTTATCAGTTTTCATTACAAGTTTTTAGAACGACACATGTAGGTGACTCTTCATCTTTAAATACATATCATGACAAAGAGAAATACCAATTCATAATTTTGGGAAAAAAAATTAGGAAAAATTAGTGGATGTGATGCAACGGATTTGATTTTTGAAGGTTAAATTTATGTAAAAAAAAAAACAAATGTGTCCAGAAACATTAAAAATGAACGTAAATTTGCAGATCTGTCAATAAGTATGTTAATGAATGTTATGTGTAAGTAAACTGTTATAATACATGATATTAACTATTCTTTGTTAAAACATCAACTCCGTTACAAGTTGTGAATCTTTAATGTGTTTATGACTATGTTTTTTTATAAGTTATAATGTAAACCTACGTATTCGATCTCTTAGCATATCAACTTTATTTCATATACATTCACATAGGCTATATTTATAAATACTTCCCAACTAAGAAAAAAAAAAAATATGACAACTTTAATTGATCCCAGTGAAGCGTGGATGGTTAATCCTGTGAGGTTTGTTATCATAATTTCAATCAATCCCCGGAGAGGCGAGTCATCGATAATAAATAGAATTTAATTTTCATGATCCGCCACTTCAAAACAACTATCATTACAGAACTCCGAACAGTATCACGTTCACAAATACATCAGAAAAAGGGCATATAGGGAAAAAAATATCAACATTTCGAACTCAAAAACTTAACAAAAACAGCAAGAGTTCCACTTCTTAGTCAATCCATGTGTGTCATCTTTTTATTAAAGTTCGAAATAAAAAAGTCGTTATAAATTCAGTTTTCTTCGGATAGTATTAACTTTTTAAGAAGCCTTCATGTACGTCTCATAATACCACACCTTGCCTTAGCTGGCCTTTACACCGACACAAAAACGTATTTACAACGCATTAACGTTCGTAAATAAATATATATATAGTGTATACACACTTCCCTGGTTGCTAATGGGTGAATATATTATATCTTAAAATTCTCAATTTATATACAGTTTGTGATGAAACACATTAAACAGAAATTGCTTTTAAGATGAAGACGGAACATTATCTTTTTCTCATATAATGATGCACACTTATAAAAAATACAGCTTTATTAAATCTAGTAATAGGTTCACTTGACGTCATCCGCCTAAACTACCCCCTCAATCCTCTTCCTCCTCTCT